TGCTGAAAAGTGGGAATGTGTGAACTCATATGTAAGAGGGAAAATAAGTTTGGATTGATGTGCGGGAAGACAGGAGCTATGAGAAACCTTATTACTGAGATGGAAAGCACATCACTCAGAGGAGTGTAATTTATGTGCTACACAGTAAATTATAATACAGAAAAATATATTGAGTACTGCCTTTATTACCTGTGGGCTTTCTTTTGAAACAAACAAACAAAAAACAAAAATCATACTTTTACAATATAGAAGTTATGTACTTTTTTATTTGACTAGAAGTTGCAAATCGTTTTTTTCATAGTTTTACCACTGTCACAGCAATTTTGTGAATTCCTTTCCTGCGTAATTGTATTGGCAACAAAAAGCATAAGAAAAAATCCTAATGACTTTTTTCCCTTTATGCAGTTTATTAACCTAACACATTTTTTTAATCTTTTTCAGAATCCTCAATTTAGTAACACTTCTACTTATGTCATCTATGCTCACTTGCTAAGACAGATAGCAGCCTTAACAGAAGCTGACCATCATTTCCTAGTGCACTGGTCTAAAAAGTAAAAAAAAATAAAAAAATAAAATTAAAAATTCCATTTTTAGGATTACAATTGCTACTGTATTTCCATTGATGTTGACTGTTTTATAAATTATATGAAAGTTAATTTAATTGACTGAAGAGATTGTTTTTGTTGTTTTCAAAGTACATTTGGACATAGTCCACTAAGTGATACTGATTTATAGATGCAAACCGTATGTAATATATAAAAATCAATCTTTATGCAAAAAAGCCTTAATTGGAAAATAAGTTATTTTTCCATAACACATGCAAAATAACTTATGTATGTGAATTTCTTAGATACATACTTAAATGGTACTACTAATACAACCATCTTTATGATCTTTGTTTAAATAAAGGTTTATCTTTCATATTTTGCAAAAGATACTGTAACTTTACTGTATTGTATGAAAACCACAAATGAAATCAAGTACCTGCTTCATAGTGTAATAGCGGTGGTGAGAGAGTGTAGTTAGGGCATTAGATTTTTAATTAATTGAAATAACTCCTAATAGCACCTCACTAATAAAGTCATATGGGGGTAACTGCCCAGAGTGGCTTTTAAGTTGGTATGCAGGTTGCCGTCCTTATAATGTCTGTGCAAAAAATTCAGTTGGGGGTGGGGGGTGGGGTAGTTTGAATGGCCATACTCACAATTCCCTTATCTCCTAGGGAACCTGTTAATAAAGGATTTTCTTCTCTGCAAGGATGGAAATTATATTTCCTTCCCCCAACTTGTAATATGTCTAGATTTGCTTAAAATTGTGGTAATACACAATTTCCTTTGAATCGGTGTTTACAAATAAGGTTTACCCGCTTGGTTAAGGATGCAATAGGTATATTGAAGTTTTTATTCTCAAAACAGGTATTAGAAATCTAAACCATTAAAATAGGAGAGCTTTTATTTAGAAACGAATGCTTTAATATATCTACACGTATGTGTATTGTTGTGATATTATGGAAGTGGTGCAGCATATAATTTAAAATATGCACTTGTCACAAGCATATGAAGTACTTTGCACTCTTTATTCAGTAGGACCAAGTATCTCAAAATAAAAATTCAGAATTCCTCAGTATTCAGATTGTGGCGTGAAATAGCTAAGGATTTTTGTTTTCTTTTTGTTTACTAAAAGTCAAGAACGAGTAATTATTTATTGCCTTTTTTTTTTTTTTTAAATCACAGACATTAAAAAGCATAGTTAGGGGTGCACTAAAGAGCATTGCTGTGTGCCAGTACTTAAAAGCATGCTTCTTCAAACTTTATATTTGGAATGTTGTTTTTATGTATAGGACAAAAGCATGTTTTTAAAAAAATAACATTGAAATCTGACAATATAAACTCCAGTGTGGACAGTGATTACATGAGAGTAAGTGCAGCATGTTTGTCTTAGGATTTCACAGAGGAGGTTCAAGCAGCTGGTGGACAGGTTGCTGCAATTTATTTCTTTACGCCTGTTTCCTGCAAAACCTGAAGAGTTTCCACCTATGGTGAAATGTACCTGGTGGATTCCATCAGCAACCAAAGTACTGGCTTTATATAGTAGGTATTTTTCTTGAACTCTGTATGCATATGGAGGTGTATGTAGATATATGTACGTTTGTGTGTGTATACATACATATGGGGGGGGATAGTTTATACCTCTCCTCTTCCAGGGGAGACTGGCAATGATGGTGGCACAGTACAAACTACAATAAAATGCCAAAAAGTAGTAAGCAACAAAACATGTTCTATTCACAAGTCATCGTACTTGCTTTCCAGTAGAGGATAATTGCTATGCATAATTTTCCTGTAACAACAACTGAAGATTATTCAAACAAAAATCCACAGAAGTAACTGATGGTTAAGGTTTCCCTTAGATTTATAAAAGAAACTGTTTTAAATGTGAATTGCTAGAATTTCTTCTGTAACTGGCTTACCCCCACAGAAGTATTTAGCATCTAAGAGAAGTTAGGCAATGCATATGCCTCTTAAGTCCAAAACTACAGCTTAAAGAAAAGTAAATCCCTGTCAAGTTCAACATAGAGCTGTCGTGGTTTAGCCCCAGCCAGCAACTAAGCACCA